TCACAAACTGAGACCCACAGCAGCATTTTTAGAAATCCAGTTCTGCCCTAAATTGGGCAAGGGTGGAAACAAACTTATATCTTACATGATATCCTGGATCTATTAGTACTGAACACAATGAAAAATTTAGAGCCCACGAGCTGGACATCAATCGAAGTCTTCCCTTCTACCTACCACAACTAGAGATACAATTAGGTGAAAGCTCCAGACAACAAAACAGAAAGACCACACAGCTCTCTACAGGTCTGCTGAGGCATGGACTTAAACCTGTGCAGGTATATGTTTAGATGACATCACTAGATGATCTACTTAACTAGCTGGATATATAGCAGAGTCCACTGGGAGCTTATAGTGGACCAACCTATACACAGGGATCTGTTGAATTTAGTTTTAATTTTATTATTTCCTTTTGCTGGGATGAATCATTGAAATTACTGTAAAATCATTTTGGTCTGCTGGTGATGTCATCTGAACATGAACCAGAACAGATTTTAGTATGAGTGTGAACAGACTAAGTTTATAGCACATATTCTTACAGGTGGTGGTCCAGTGAAACTGGCAGTTATGGACCTCGAATCTTTACTTTTTGGAGACTCGGACCCTTTCTGTTGCAAATCCGCTTCACTTTGTTCCTCGTCTTCATCAGTCTACAACATACAGGACACCATTGTTGGTGATAAATACTTTTGTTTTTATGCTATTTATCTGACTATTTAATAAGTGCTTAATCTGCAATAGTGGACAACACACTTGTTTAAGAATGAAGTATTGATTTCATTCAGATATAAACACTGTGGCATGCCTTATCTCTATCAAACTATAAGTATAATTATAAAATATTATAATGCTGAAAGCAAAAGACAGGGAAAAAAACATTAGACAGAAGCAATTTTCCTTACTGCTGAACCTGCATAAAAAAGAGTTTAAAAGATGCACACATTGCATGTAAGAAAGCTTGTAAATACACTGTACTAAACAATGAATGGAAAATATAATAGCATGGTGTCGATGCAAGCCAAATCTATAAATTGGAAAACATCTATCTAGAACTGAAAATCTGTATAATAAATTCTTATAAAAGGACAGACTATGTATAGCCTAGTATGTAAGCAACATAAATTGTTTTCATCCACCAGACAGAGAGAGAAATGACCAATATCCCACAGCTTTTGTATACTGTAACCATATCATTCCTAACATTCCCTTCAGAGAATCAAATACAGCAAACAATACACAAATGACAGCTATTTCATTCTGTTAAAGCTGTAATGGTTAACTTATTTTCTAAAAAATACCACCAGAAAAACATCTTAAATGCAATGTATCTCCATGAATGTGCTGATACTCCATTAAAGCACAAAAATATTGGTCCAGTAAAACACAACAGACTAAGCAGGCCACACCAAGATTAATATGGAAGTTACCCCTATTAGGAAAGTAGCGTGATGGGGGGAGCTAGGACTATTCTCCTGTTTTAACTCCCCCATTTCTTCTTCTTCTTCCTCATCTTCACCCTCGGATTCTTGGATTGATTTCTAATGAGAAAAGCATGAAGTGTGATTTTTTGACGCAAGATCATTACAGGTATATATGGCACACCAACAATACTTTGTGAAAGTTCCAACCAACCAACCAACCAACCAACCAACCAACCAACCAACCAAAATTTTAAGCAATTTTAAGCTTGCCTATGATGAAAAATTAAATGTAAAATCATTTGGTTCATTTCAAAAGAATACAGAATGAAACACATACACACACACATGCACACACATGTACACGCACACACACACACCTTGTAGTCTAACAGAAAGAAAATGAATGAAACAAAATAAAAATAAGTGTCAAAATTGTATTCCAAGACAGTTACAAGGAAAAAAAGCATTCTTATCAGTCTTATGCCCCACTGCAGACACTAAGTCAAAAATAGTCTGAAAATGCAAAAGCCACAAGACAAAAAGTACTCTACACTTCACTAGAGATGACACACAACAGCCCCACTGCACTGTATGTATCACCTGCTGGATGAGATGTTCATATTTTAACAGTGTGGAGTCTCCCAGTGCACCACACTCTGTATCATTATCACCATCATCTGAAGACTCACTGTCATCCTCTTCTTCATCCCTGGTGGCTGGCTACACATACAATACCACATAATAAAGGTTATAAAAGCCAAGGATGCATGCAGGCCTATGCCCTGTGTACACATTGCAGATACAACTTTTTCACACACACACACACACATGCACATGCATACACACTTACTAATAGACTGTAATCTTAAAATTTCAAAAATAATTATGAGTTAAATACACAGACATTGAGACAAATGTATCTTCATGAAAAAAAGGATCACAAACCCTTGAGAAAAAACCAATACTGTAGTTCACACTACTTTTTGAGGGCAGAGAGAAGAAAAGGAGATATGGCACACTATATCTTTTGTGGACATGGAAATATCCAAAAACACAAGTCAGACAGAGAAACTAAGTTGTGGACACAGAAAATATCCATAGCAAAAGTCAGTCAGAAATACCATGTTGCTGACACACAAAATAACCAAAAACACACAACAGAGAGATAGACATATTTCCACATGTAAAGACAAAGAGAATTCAAGCATTTTCTTTGAAAATTTGCAAAATTCAAGAATTCAAGAACAGGAGAGACAACTGCACCTGATCTTGTTCCTCCATCTTATTGTCTTCAGACTCACTGAGATAGAATTCCACTGACTGAAATACAGACCATCTCTTTAACAACTCAACTTTTTAAAAAAATTTATTAACCTTTTACTTCTTTTGGATATCAAAACCACAGCCAAGCCAAATTTTAATCCAAGAAATCTGTAATAATTCCCAACAAGCTTTGTTTGGATTTCAAACATACAAAACTTGATTTTCAACTCATCATATATCTTTAAGATTTGTTTGTTAGGTGAGCCTTAATAATGAGGATTACATTCATGAAATCATATAAAATATGTGGACCTTTTGAATGGTTTTCTCAGTTAGGGATGCTCTTGAAGCCTTCCTCGATGGTTCTCTTGAATCCTCAGAATCTACATAAAATGATGCTCTCTGAAAAAACAACTTTACTTTGTTAAATAGTGACATTCCTAGGACAAGCCATACCAGTTATTTAACCTCATTTTATCTGGAAAATATTGGTGGACCTAGTTCTAGAACAGTATCACTTAAGATTGCTAAGAAAATAGAAAGATACAGGTATAAACTTGACCAAAGTCTAGACTTGACCAAAAGCTTGGCAGCAGCAGACAAATGGCAATTAAGAATATGGCACTTATTGAAAATTGGAATTTGCACTATATTTACCATCAAAGTTTCAAATTGAGAATCAGCAAAACTATCACTACACAACTGCCAGAAGATCAATGGTTATACAGATACATCATTGCACATATCTCAGATTGAATACTGTCTTCCTTTGACTTTTCAAAATAAACCATTTATAGCCACACAAAAAGGTTTTATCTTGTATAATGATTAAAGATCAAAAGAATGGGCAGCATTTGAATCTAAAGACAGTGTTATAGTAACAGTCACACACTCACGCCAGTCCAACAACTACACTAAAATCACCCATAATGCACACTACCATAACTTCACAAAATGGGACAAAAAGACTTTGCTCTGGTTCTTCAACTTATTTGTCATTATAGAAATGTTACTTTGTTTGTCTGATGCTGATAGAAGCAAATGAATCTCAAATGTACAGAATAAGGTGAAAATACTGAAAGTGCACTGGACATAGAATTATACATATTTTTAATCAAGAATTGGCCGACTAATTTTGTTAAATAACATAAAACTGCAATGAAACAAGGCCAGACAAAATGTACTTCAGACACATCAAAGTAATAAACAAACAAAAAAGCTGGAAGAGATCTGCTTCATGCCATTTTGGAAGTGAAAAAGAAATCTCAACATTATATTCCAACACCTGTTTCATTTCATCCATCTGAGTTGGTTCTTCCCCTCCATCAGCAGCCTCCGAGTCCCACTCACTTCCTTCCTCTTCTTCCTCAGTATACTACACATAATGTGACAAATATCATTTATCATCATTGTAAGTTATTATTAGTCTGAGAGAAATTCCAGAAATGGCCTCAGTTTGCAAAAGATTGAGTAGAAAAAAATTTAATCTACAACCTGTAGATTCAGGCTGTGCCATTGCTTATTATTTCAGGTAAACCATCAGCCACCAGCCAATGTTCTCACAAAGATACAAAGTTGTCATTATGATCATAATGTTATCATCTATTGACAGACACTGTAAGTGTGGGGACACATTTTTTACTCTATATGTATATAAACAGCCTACAGTGAAAGAGATAAAATTACATACACTGAAAATAATGAAAAATAATGAACATTATTATTATAATGCATGATAACAAGTTATGACAAGCTGTACACAGCCAGTATTTTTTTAAGTGAATTAAATTCACTATATGAAAGAGGCACTGGAAGGAAAGATTTTTTCTGAAATAGAATATGGATGAAACCCTTTAAATTCATTCTTGCCTGACAAAGCAGCTGCAAAACGTGTGTATTTGCATGCAGATATCGATGCTATTGCAGTTACAAAGAACTTTCAGCACAAAGGTAAGAAAACCGTGAAATCACATTGAGAAGTACTGTTTCAGTGAAATGCTAAATTATTTCAGTAAACCAACATACATTAGTCTGTTAATTCTTACAATAAGTATCAACAAAAGAACAAGAAAACAATTTGTACCTTCATAATACATCATAAAATTATGCAAAGTATGTGAGAAGCAGAATTCTTAATATGTGGAGAACAAGCAAATTTTCCCTCAACAACAAGCACAAGCAACAACAACAACAACAACAACGCAATGCTGATCCAAGGTGTCATCAAGAACTCATAACCAACAATACCTTCTTCATCTCTATCACCATGGAATCATCCAGCAGATAGTCAGACACAGAGCGGCACATGGCAGGGTCTACGTCTACAGGGAGAGAGGAAGCAAAGCCATGCAGTATGGTTTGTGTGCTAACACTATGGACCATGCCAGTAGCCTGTTGAAACAGGGGCTCAGACAGAGAGGAGGAACCTGCAAGGGAAGCAGCATCCAGCTGACAGATGAGGTTAGAGTGCATCAGCTCTGAGAGAGAAGAAGAGGAAGACCTCGAGCTTGGTATGACTGGCAGCTCTTGGCGATCTGTGCTGGTAGAACTGGGCGCTCCGGTAGATGTCGGCTTGGAATCCGGTGGAGAGACAAAGCGGTCGGAACTCTCTGTGTGGACGGCTGTAGAAGAGGGTACAGCCCCACACCATAGCAAATCACCATGGGACTGTTGCAGCCTTGGAGGAGCCTCATCCGGATGACCACTGGTCAGTGTAGGACATGAACAGGCAACTGCCTGACCACCAACTGCTGCCCCAGTGTCTTCAATCATCAACTTGTCCATAGATGAAACCTTGCTTTTCCTCTTAAAGAAATTGATCAATCTTCTCTTAGAAGAAGACTGTCCACTTTTCTTGCCTCTGGAAACTTTTTTCTTCACACCAGCAGACTTCTCACCCGGTTCCTTACTACCTTTACCTTCTTCAAACCCTTTCTCTTTGCTTCCTCCTTTCATGCCATCCTCAGTGCCTTTGAGCTTGAGAGATCCACCACTGGTATGGGTGTTAGCATGAGCCGATGGCACCAAGAAAGGATCAGACCTAGCAGCAGCAGTAGCAGTGGTGGAGGTGGCTGGAACCCACCCGTGTCGAGGACACAGGCAAAAGTACTGCAGCTGTAAAGGCTGACCCACAGCTGTCTCTACAGTCTGGGTGCAGGCACTCTTCATATTGGTAACCCTTGCAGGTGAGGCTGACATCTCTGATACTGCTGGAGAGGGTGAACCCCTTACTGTTTCTCCTGTGGTTATTTGGGAAGTAGACTGAGTGTAGCTTCTACTGTTTGATCCAGTCATCACTGAACTGGAGGGTAGCCCTGATAAGGTACTTTGTGATGCTGTTGCTGCTGTAATTGTTGTTAATACTTGAGATGTTGCTGTCGTCACTGCTGTCACTGATGCTGCTGATGTTGGTGTCCCTGGTGCTGTTTCTGATACAGAAACTTGTGAGGCATCATTGGTGTTTCTACTGCTAGATCTAGATGACCCTAAACTCCTGTTGTTATTGTTTTGATTGGAGTTAACCAACACATCCAGTGACCTTACATACACCTTAGGTGTTCTCAACAACAATGGAGTGTTTTTCTTTATCTGGGAATATGGTGCTTTTGAAGACATACAGTTATGCTTCAAGTTCTCTTTCCTTGGTTTCCCCTTTGTCTCCTGCTTCTTTGATCTAAATTCAACTGTCTTTACATCACAGTCATGGCTACTCAATGAAGACTGTGCCTCTTCCACTGGGCAGTAAAATGAAACCGACTTCTTATACCCATCCCTACTCTCCTGACATCCACCATTCAGTTCTTGCAGTGGTAGAGGCCTCTTGAGAACCCCTTTCTTCTTCTTGTTGGCCATTCTTTTCAGGTCTCTGATAGACCCAGCATAGGCAGACTGTGTAGGTGAGGGAATGGCTGACTCCACTGTGGTCATATCATCCAGGCAGTCATCTGAGGAGGTCCTACAGCCTGGGGGTTCTCCATCTCCATCATAGGACTCTGCTATAGCCATGGTCAGTGAGCTGTCACTTTGGGAGCCAGGACAGCCACTGTCACCAGCCACCATGTTTTTTTCCATAACTGTGCCATCGGTCATCGTTTTGCTGATTGCCATATTATTGGTCAACACATCACTGGTCACTTTGTCATCGGTCAGCACCCCATTGGTGTTTGTTGGTACAGGTCTGGCTTGGTCCAGCATGTTGTCCACCAATTGTTCACCAACTGACGTATTTAGTTGAAGAAAGGTGTTATTGATACTGCCAGCAGTAGAAGGGCTATGGCTACTTTGTCCATCAGGGTTCAAAAGTGGTGCTGCGCTGTCAAGCACAGAGTAAAAAAGTGGTGTCAATGCACCAGGCATTGGAGAAGATAGAGGAGCATCTAGACTTGGAAGCAGTGTATCTGCATTGGGCTCTGCTGAAGAAAAGGGGACTGTGTTATTAGGACTTGTACCAGGAAGTAGGTCTGCTGCACCAGATATCATCATGGTGTGAGGTTCTTTTCTGCTACATTTTTTAGCTGAAAGCCGCATGTGGTCTTTGGTAGTTTGCTGAACTGCTGTATTAGATAGTGCAGAAGAAAGTGGTGCTGTAACAGTAGATTCTGTTGCTAAAAGATGTGGTGTCACTTTAGAATTTGCAGTACTAGAAAGTGGTGCTGTTGTTTCAATCTTGGCAGTAGAAAGTGATCCAGTTTTATTAGACTCTACAATAGAAAAAGAAGCAGTCACACTAGGTTCAGCAGTAAATAGTGGTGCTGTCTTGTTAGACTCTGTAGTAAAAAGTGGTGCTGCCATGTTACAGCCAGTAGTTGAATGGGTTGCTGTAATACCAGACTCTTTAGTAGAAAGTGGTGCTAACATGTAAGAGTCAGTAGTAGGAAGTGGTGCTGTCTTGTGAGACTCTGTTGTAAAAAGTGGTGCTGATAGGTTAAAGTCAGTAGCAGAAAGTGGTCCTGTAATATCAGAGTCCGAAGAGGGTGGTGCTGTCATGTTAGACTCTGCAGAAAGCATTGGTACCTTTACACAAGGTTCCATGCTGTACAGTGGTGCTGATATTGGAGACAAGCAGGGCAAGCAGACTGAGTGTGACACAGGTACAGGAGTGCAAGCAGACACTGGGCAGACAGTTACATCTAGAGACTGGGGTCTATCTACTACACACAAGCTTGCTGTTCTCACCTCCTCTTCTTCCTCCTCCTCATCATCATTTTGAGTTGTCTTCACAGGAGGCTTGGGCTCTTCTTCTTCTTCCTCAGAGTCCCATTCACTTTCCTCTTCCTCGTCTTTCTGTGGCTTCTGTTAAACAA